AATATTTTTTTAGGAAAAAAAAATTATGGCCTCTCGGTACCAACTGCATACCATATGGTATCTTCTTCGTTTTTAATTCGTTTTTGAAAACGTTTGCACAGCAGGGATGAGTTCATCATGATCTACTGGATCTACAAATTTCTGGGTGAACAAATTACAGGACAAAAAAATACCACACAATACCATACAATACCACCCTGGTACGGGGTGGTATTGTATAGTATCTTCTTCGTTTTTAATTCATTTTTGAAAACGTTTGCACAGAAGGGATGAGTTCATCATGATCTATTGGATCTACAAATTTCTGGGTGAACAAATTACAGGACCAAAAAATACCACACAATACCATACAATACCACCCTGGTACGGGGTGGTATTGTGTGGTATACAATGTTAAAAGTCGTAAATTACAATTAATATACTTCTACTATCATGTATTCAACCATCCTACAGTATTGGTTTGTTCATACCACCATGGTACTTTTTTCAAAACATAGGTATGCTTTTATTTCAATACCAGTCAATACCATATGGTATCGGCTGGTAAAAAATGGCTCAATTTTTTTTGTTCGAAAAATATATTAAAGTGGATATCATTTTGAAGAGCACAATTAATCCGATCTAACTGTGCAAAAAAAATTAAATTTTGACTTAAAATGAGCGAGAAATCGTCCGTCAAAGATTAAAAAGGGAAAAATTAAAGGCTTTACATGAGAGAGAGGATGCTGATGTCATGCTGATGTGGACGGGTTACTCATGGTTACTCACCATAAGGTTACTGACCTGATCCATTCCCTACTCGACCCATCAGCAAATTGATACAACATTAGTAGCCCCTGTATCAAGTATCAAATGTCTAAAAATTGATATCAATCTCAAAATAAATTTGATCTCAATTCGAAAAATATTTCAGTACTTTTTATATTTCAATAAATAGCGATTACAATAATAATCTTAAAACTAGAAAAACACTTAAAAATCGATCCCTTCATGATAAAAAAATAAATTTGTATTTGATAGTTCTAAATGGTGATAAATAAGGTGTGATGTTCAACATATCTCAAATATGGGTAAAATAAATTATAGTCCTACAGGGTTCGTATTTGGTTATTAATCATTTTGGGTACTGACCACATATAATTGTTTTTCTCTATTAACGGATTATATATCTTTCATTTTAATTCAAAATTTAAATACTTTAAACATACAAATTAGATTAATTTTTATCTTCAAAATGCAATTAATATTTTATGAATTAAAATTTAAATAATTTACACATAAAAATTAGATTAATTGTTCTCTTCAAAATGGCATCAACTTTTATATATTTGATGGATACGAGACCCACCTTGACTTTGAATTAGGAGAGGAAAAATGTTAGTATTTGTATGCAACTTATGATACTTAAACACAATATCTCATATTCACCAGCTTCACTGGATTACCAACAGACTATAAAAACCTTTGGTACATATTACTCTACATTTTTTGTATAAATTTATTTCTCTAATTTCTTATTCCGTGTTTAGTAATCCCTATTCAATGTCGAATTCTTCACCCTCAAGTGAAAATATTTCGAAAACTACAAAAATGCATTATATTGTCAGTCATTCTAACACTAATAAATATTCATTTTATATATCTAATTTACTTTACGTAGGAGCCGCCTTGAATGAAATAATCATGGCTACATTTGATATGGTGGTAAAGGTTGGTAGTATATAAGACTATATATATGAGCTTTCTGTTTATCATCATCACAAATTGAATTGTAATCAAATCGCTTGAGGACATCTACTGATGCCATTAATTGACAATTACATAATTCGAACAATTTTAAATTCACCGACAAAATTATTTAAAGTTTTTTTATAAATTCCAATTCCATTTTAATTGGATGTTTAACTAGAAGGGGGCGATTAGAGTTTCTTTCATTTTTCCTGGTCAATAATTACAAAAACTAGAAATCCCAACCATTGTTTTGATTTATTGTAAAGTTGGGAAGAATCCTATTTTTTGAATTCAAAATAGATTATAGACGTAAGTATGAATTATATGTATATTCTTTCAAAATTGAAATTTAGGATGTTAAATTTTTTTATTAAGAAGGAAATTTATCTAATAGTTTAGCTACTGTAATTTACATCCGTCAGAGTTTAATTCAAATCAAACCAATTAGAAAATTGTTGAGGGCCCCTTTTTTCTCGATCCACAACAATGAAAAGAAGAAATGAGTAGATACGAGAATACGTAGAAGACATTTGCAGGCTAGATCACTAAACTGAAAGGAGAAAGAGACAATAGTGGACTAGTTAGAAACCGATCCAATGAAAAGAATGCTTGTTTTGTCATGATATGGGCAGCTCTGTCGTACATACTATGAGGCACGCAATGGAACAAAATATTGGAAATGGGGAAATCTTTTCTTGTAGAACTATCACCTAAGATGGGCAAGAAGAGTAAGATTGCTCTAATCCATATTATTAGTGTATAATCTTGTAAGGCATAAATTATTTCAAACCCTCAAGCTAGTCGATATAGATTATTGCCAAAGCCAAACACACTATCAAATGTGCATTATGAAGGGAAGAGTTTGGAAAGTTTTCCATTTGCAAGTCTGAAAAGGAGATTTGACATACTCTCACACGTATGAAGGTAGGTTTCAGGTCAAGAATACTCGAATTAGGATGCTAGTTAACCATATGAAATGTTTAGAATGAATGAAAGCGAGAATATTGCATAAATGTATGAAATATTTACTAATACTGTTAGTGGACTAATGACTCTAGGTAAAAAGTTATATAGCTAAGGTGTTGATCTGGCCAGCAAAATACTAAATTCACTACCAAAGATTTGGAGACCTAAACTCATTGCCATTGAAGAACCAAAAGACTAAATTCGAATTAAGGGAATTAATAAGTTCCTTGACAACTCAAGAGAATGTACTAAAAAGTGAAGAAAATGAAGCACCTAGGAAGAGGAGAGACATAGCTCTAAAACTCGATTATTTGTAAATAAAGATGATGAAAATCTAACTAAGCAATTAGAAAATCTAAACTTTAAAAGAAATTAAGAGTAAACTTTGAAATATAGAATGGGGGCAAGAGGTTTATTAAGAAAAGAAATATAGGACATATCTTATGGAATGTCTCAAGTTTAACTTACTACCCATAAGTTAGTTTTGTGAAAAGGGATGCATGGTAGCTTTTGAAAATAGTACATATCTTATGGAAAAATGAAAGATACCATATAACTCTATTAATTGGAGAAAGAGTATACATAATGTGTAAACTAAATCTTACAGATATTGGCGGTAGTACTAATCTAAAATGACATATAAAACCGGGACATGCGAGTACTAGTATACTTGGAAAATTGTCTAATCTAGTAGCAAACAGTAACAACATTCAGCTAGAATGACATATGAAACTGGGACATGTGGGTACTAGTATACTTGGAAAATTGTCTAATCTAGGGCTGGTAAGAGGACTACCTCAACCTAGTCAGAAAATAAAATCACTTTGTAATGCATGTGTTACGATCATGAACTTTATCATCTCCAGTGAACTTCAAGATCACGACACGGGTTCCCGACCCTGATCTCTTCCTTCCGCCTATGAACTTCTCATACTCTTGAAACCACACTTGTTGCCTTAATTGCTTTTCGACTTTGCTTAAACCTAACACATTCTCGCCTAAACAAGTCCACATGAAATAAGAAACATATCTAGGAAACAATGCAACGTTTAGATCTCATTTAATCAATTAAGACATAACACCTAGATTACAAAGGCTAATACCATCTATTTTAGATGTTATCTCCCCAAATTAATTTTCCACTAACCAAATTGTGTAGGACTGGGTCTTAGGTAGAGTGGTGGTTGGACTAATGAAAGAGGAGGAGAGAGTGTCCGACGAGTTGAGGACACGACAAGAGCACCAAATCCATCATATACTCATAGCGTCTGATTTGGTGATGTAAGAACTGTTGATGACTTGCACAAAACCATCTCCAAAGTCAAATCTTTCAAGTCGCTGAAGATGCCTAAAATCAGAGGGCATGTGAACATATCCCAAATCGAGGAGGAGATTTCTAACCAAGAGCGAAAACTGTCGAAGGTACTGGAATTCAACAAGAGTCTAAATGAAACTAACGACAACATAAGATAGATAATGATGATCTATGCTAGCTAGCATAGACGAGGCTCCGAATAGTAGCGTACATAGGCTCTCAACCAACCAAGACCAAGTTGAATAGTGACACTTAATCTGAGGACACATATCGTGGGTAATCATGGCGGTTGCAGGTCAAAATAGAAAGAGCGCTTGAGGACAGAAGAGATAGTGTCCGACGAGTTGGGAAGCGTTGAATCCATTAGCTACTCTTCATAGGGTGAGGTAAGAATCGTCGATGACTGACACAAAACCATCTCCAAGGTCGAATCTTTCCTATCGCTTAAAAGGCCTAAAATCAGAGGGCACGTGAACACATCTAAAATCGGGGATGAGAGTTCTCACCAAGAGAGAAAACCGGCGAAGGTATTGCAATTCAATAGGAGTCTAAATGAAACTAGCAACAACATAAAGAATGATGATCTGCACTATCTAGCATAGATGAGGCTCTGAATAGCGGTGCATACAGGCGCTCAACTAGCCAAGACCAAGTTGAACAGTGAGGCCTAATCCGAGGACACATATCGTGGGTAATTATGGTGGTTGTGGGTCAAAAATAGAAAGGAGAGAGACTTTTGACTGATGAGGTTTTTTTTTTTTTCCTTTCAATGATCTTTATTATAAATTTATAATATATAGGATGTATATTTGATTTTGAATTTTTTACCTACAAATATATATCATTCTATAAACCACAATGAACACATTCTTTCTCCGCAGAAATCTTCATAACTTGAGTTGAAAACGAAGGTGATTTAAAGTAGTAATGAGTTGGGTGATGCAAAAGAAAAAAAAAATCAAAATATATTGAAATTGAATATAAGTTTACACATCACAATTAACTCGTTACATTAATTAAAAATTTTACAGAAATATGATTACAGTAAAAAAAGATAAAAGTAAATTAAAAAAGTAAAAATATTTAATCTCACCCTCTACACATTACCCACCCAAAACCAAAAGATCAATTTCATCATTCGCGTAACCTTTGCCCCAGAGGAGCCCTATGCTCTATCCATGTTCCAATCCGAAAAGCATATTGTAAAGCTGAGCAAGTTAAAAATGAACCCCCCAAAAAGAAAGTATCATCATCATCATTTCATGTTGTTCTGCCCTCTCTCTCTCTCTCTCTCTCTCTCTCTCTCTCTTGACGTCCATTTCCATTATTCAGTTTCATTCCCTCTTTCATCCCCTCCTCTAGCTTCCTAATAAGTGCTTTCTGTTCAACTCCCTTTTCTGGTGCGGTGCATATATATCAACCACAACCATCACCTCCTTTCCCCCATCTCATTTTGCTGCTTCTGATCCTCATTACCCAAAATACAGAACACAAAGAAAGAAAACCATCTGTATTTCCCCACCTCATTTCATCAGCTGATGCTCGTCTGCCAGCTTCTTGTAGTTATCCCATTCTGAACTGTGTAAGCTTCAATTCTCGCTCCCATCCTTCCGCAAAGAGCGTCATTGTAGGTCCGATGGCGCAATTGCCTCCCAAAATCCCAACCATGCTGTCTTCGTGGGCAGATTTCTCGCCCGACCAGAAATTGCATTCCCTTGGTGCAGCCATTCTGCCTTCCCACCACCACGCCGCCGCCGTCCCTCCTCCGCCTCCTCCTTCCTCCTCCGCCGCCGCCCATAACAACAGTCACCCTTCCTGGGTTGACGAATTCCTCGACTTCTCCTCTACCAGGCGCGGGACCCACCGCAGGTCCGTCAGCGATTCCATCGCTTTCCTCGAGACGCCAATGCTCGACGACTGCCGCGCCGCCCCTCCCGCCGGCGGCGTCCATCGCCCGGCAGGTAACAACCGCAACAACCCCCACGATTTCGACAAATTTGATGACGACCAGTTCATGTCCATGTTCTCCGACGACATCTCCAACCCGGTCACCGGTCCCAACTCCTCTTCCAACCCTTCCACGCCCTCCGATCACAACAGCTTTAACGAGGAGAAGGAAGGCTGCGGCGGCGGCGGCGAGCTGAAGAATATCCGGAGCGAGGCGGACGAGGCGCAGAGCCCATGCGATTCGGATTCCCAGCAAACGACGCCGTTCGACGGGGACCGTGTTGTCGACCCCAAGAGGGTCAAGAGGTGGGAAGGATTAAAATCCCATTAACCCGGTCGCTAGTTAATACTTGATAAAAAATCCCATTAATGCTAATGACATTCAATTGGTTCTGTTTCTACTATTGAATTGAATTGAATTGAATTGAATTCCCTGCCTGGTTGCAGAATTCTGGCGAACAGGCAATCGGCGCAGCGGTCACGGGTTAGGAAGCTGCAGTACATATCGGAGCTTGAACGGAGCGTCACTTCCTTACAGGTAAAAGTGTTGTTCCACCACCTACCTACGCATTTGATACTAATAATAAAATGAATTTCCGTGGTAGAAATTTGTATGGTGACAAGAGTACAGGAAATAGTTATTTATTTCTAAGTAATTAAGGTAATGATGATATGCATACATGGTAAACAGACGGAAGTATCGGTGTTGTCGCCGAGAGTTGCATTTCTGGACCATCAGAGACTGCTTCTGAACGTGGACAACAGTGCTATAAAGCAGCGGATTGCAGCTCTGGCTCAGGATAAGATCTTCAAAGATGGTCAGTGATCTCTTTCTCTTTCTTCTTCTTTAAAAAAAAAAAAAAATCCTTTGCCATTAATATCGATCCTTCCTAGCTAGCTAGTGACTTGATCAATGAATTAATAAACTTGTGCTTACAAAAGAATAGTAAGTAATTTCATTTGGATGGGTTTACTTCTAAATTTCTATGTTTTCTAAAACTATATGTACTATTTTAATAATTGGTATCGTGGTGGAGGTGGGGAATACAGGATCGGGTAAGTGTATTATTGTTGTTATAATGTGTAAATTTGGTAAAGAGGAGTGAATAGGGAGGGAGTGAATGCCAACTGTTGCAATAAATGAGGACAAGATATAGCGCTGGGTTGGGTAGATTAGATATGACAAAATCATGTGGATGTTGGCCATAAATACTTGGATCCCAAAATTGATAGATATGTGCAAGCTTGAGTTGAGCTCCATTTTTAAGGGAATTGATAAAGGTCATTATTAAAATTACTATTGATCATCCTAAAAAATAACTAAGTTACATTTTTAACCTTTTGGCATCTTTAGCAAACAAACATCTCATCTCTTTGACTAAAAAAAATGAAAAATATTCAATTTCCCACACTCTCGAATTCATCGTTGACATTCTCGAGTCGTAATCGTTGGGAATACGTCCGAATCATGAGTAGCGACTCCGACGAGGTAAAAATCCGTTTTTTTTTTCAAAAAAACCCAAAACCCCTCAACCGAAGCCAATTTTCGGTTGTACCATGGCTCAACCTAAGACAATTTTCGGTTGTTCCATGGACCAACTGAAAATTGGCTTCGGTTGAGGGGTTTTGGAATTTTTTTTGGATTTGTTTGCTTTATATCAATAATTTTCTATTCTTTTACTACGATTTATGGTTCGGTTCATAAGATAATTTGTTGGATTTTGGTTTATATTTTTTTTAGATTTATGGAAGGGGAGGGGTTGTTTGTTTTGTGTTTGATTTTGAAATTCAAAATGGGCAATTCGGTAAATTACATATGAAGTTAGGATGATGATTAGTAATTTTTAGGACGATCTTTAACCATTCAAATTTTTAAGACTAGTACGCTTTTTGCTTCAATTTCCCCACCAGTAGTTTCTGGTTCGTGGTCCCAGGCATCATTTGTATTAATTAATTAATATATAGAAACAATGCATGGTGGGTTTGATTCCCCTTGCGATAATAAGTCGGGATGTATGTATAATAGGCTATCTATATATATATATATATATTCCCCTGTTCTTTTCTTCTGTTGTGAACGGAAGGGAGAAGAACAGTAACGATAGCAAGAAATAAATTTTTTTTTTTTTGGAGGAATCGAATTTAGTAGTGCAGGTAGTTATTGTGTTGTGTGGGTGCAAATGAAATAATAATAATAATAATAATAATGTGTGGATTAATTTGTTGTTGGCAGCTCATCAAGAGGCACTGAAGAGGGAAATAGAGAGACTGAGGCAAGTTTACCATCACCAGCAGAAGCTCAAGACGACAATGGAGGCTAGTAACCAGGACGACGACAACAGCAACTCAGCAGGAGCAGGAACACAGCACCAGAGTCATAATAGCGAACGCCCCAACAACAACATTACAGGAGGAGGAAGTGGTGGTGGTGCGGAGAAAGAGCAGCAGCAGCAGCTTCTTCAAGTTTGATGAGGCGGCGGGAGGGAAGGGAAGGGAAGGGTGTTGGCTCGGTTCGTACTGGGGATTAGCAAGTTGACTCATTTAGTATTCTGATTAATTATCTCTTTTGGGGAGGGAAGTCAAGCCATGACTCACAAAAAAAAAAAAAGGAAAAGTTATTATTAAAAAAAAAATGAAGTCTCTGTCACATTTCATGTGCAGTCTCTTTTTCTTTTGTAGTAATTGGTGGTGGGAAGAGAGAGATAAAGTGGGGGGTGGTGGAGGAGAGGAAGAGGCCGGAGAGGAGAGGAGAGGAGGAGGTAAAGGGGCCGCAGCTGCTAATGATCTGTGCATTCACGTGATATGTCGTACAAGCACAAGGGACCACCTCTCTCCTCTCTCTCTCTCCTCTCAGATTTACATGATTGGGAACCTCCTCAAGACCCCAACTGCATCTGCATGTGCCACCCTTCATCCCCTCTCTTCTTTTATTATTTCTTTTATTATTAACCAGTGTTTTCGTTTTCGTTTTCTTTTTCTTCTCTTTTCCCTTTCTATTCTTTTTTTTTTTTTAATTTAAATTGATTTGATTGATTAATTGTTGGGGCAGAAAAGATAACCCCATGTTAGAAGATAATTCATTTGTATTTGATTCTATTCTATTCTATGTAGTTCAGTTGTTTTTTAGGTTTTCGTAAAAGTGTAGCGGACAAGTCTGTTCCTGTATTGTATTTGCTGCCTGTTGGGATGGATGGCCGTATGGAAAAGGGGAAGATGTCGCAAGGGGACTTCCCGTTTGTTTTTGTTCCTCTGTAACACTGGCGGAGGTAAGTTTTGAGGAGTCGGGTACTCACGCTAAAATCTATTGGATACCTAGATTTTAGTCGATGCTTCAAATTTACGATCGACTTCATACTCTCATTAATTGTAGTCAAGGTTCAAGAAGGTGTTAGGCAAAGCTTCAATGTCTAACTCGACTAGGCGTATACTAAGCGTGTTTAGGCATTGGAAGAAAAATATCTACTCACATTGCATGATAAATGAAATAATAATCTACAACGCTAATATTTAAGCACCCCAGTCAACTCAAAATTCTATTAAAGGTATAGATTTAGCATTATTGACTTATAGTACCACAATTAACTTGAAGTCTGGTTATGCCGCTGCCTCTGTTGCTCACTTTCATCAGCGCCCTTTTATCATCTCTGTAAAGGTTGTCGACCTGGTTTAGCTTGTTGGCCTGGTCGAATAAGTGAGTTGGGGATTAATGAACTAATTGCTTTAATCCTGTTTAGACTGAATATGTGAAAAAATCATTATATTGCTTATACATTTAAAAATCATATCAAATCTCATCTAACATATTGAGTAATATCATATAAAATTTCACTAAAAAATAACATGTCGTACTTAGATCCGACATATAGCGAAAATTCACACACTTATATAAAATCAATATTCAAATATGTTCAACTTAGAATTATAAAGATTGAGTTATGCGAAAAGGAAAATCGGAAAATAGGCGCATCTAGCAAAGAAAAAAAAAACAACGTTTGAGCTCCAGCCCGGTACCTCGTAGCGGTCGACCGACTGGTGTGTGAGGCCCATTTTTCTCACCGGGTCAAGGACAAAGTGGGTCAACTGGAAGGTCGACCCTCGGGTTGACAACCTTGGTCATTTGTTTTACGTTGAAAGGTTTGATCGTGCGAATGAAAAGATTATATAAGACAACCTCATGAAATACCATATTCGTGAAATGTAGGAAGGAGACCTCAAATTAGATCGAATTGATTTGATTAAATCTTTTCATATTCAGTTAGATTGGTTGGATAAACTGATGTGGCGTTTGGAGTAACCAATCTGAATAGAACCAAACTGATGTGGCGTTTGGATAAACCAACCAGTGCAACTACCATGTGCCGAACCGATGCAATTGTTGGGAATACTTTTTAATGAACCATTTGAATGATTGAGGAACCATCCATCCGAGGAGGGGTCGTCTCCCTTCACAAACCCCGTTCATTTGCTATAAATAGCATCAACCCCCTCTACTTTCATTGACAACTTTTCACAAGAGACTTTCGATCGAAAGATAGTTTTCCTTATTCTTTGCATTTTTCTCTTTACAAACGCATAACAGAAAAGAAAAATCGTGCTACTTCTCGCAGTTCGTCGCTTTTTGGAGTTCCAAGTACAGGTACGCTAGAAAAGATATGTTTGTTCTATCGTGAGAGAAATAGTTCCACAACTTTGGATTTCTTAGCGGGGAAATAAATTTTTTAAGAAAAAATAGTGTATTTTATTATCTCAGACGAAAATTATACATGTTTCAATAATATTTTTATACATGAGTCTAGACATCTTTACTTGAGTTTTTTTTCATTCATTTCGATTTCTATTTGTAGCCGATGCCGAATTGTGGATTTTTACGGTTTGCACAGGTTGAACCCATGTGCTGGCAAATCACGAGGCTTTCGTTTGCAAAGGTTGAACATACCATCCCTTGTGCTAAAGAAATGGTTGAAAAATGGGGGTCATCATGAGGATTCAAAACTATGATCTTTCGATTCTAGGCTCTGATACCATGTTAGCAAACTAACCACTTTGCCCCAATAACTCGAGTTATTGGAAAATGGATATTTAAGCCTTTTAATCTCTTACACTTCTCGAATATGTCTTTTCTTTCCTCCCCATTCCTTGATTTGTTGCGCAACAGGTATATGTTCACTTCTAACTTGTTCCTTCTAGCTCCCAAGTTCCAAATTGTTGTTTGTTCATCAATCATATGGAGCGGACACAGAAAGCCCAAAGAACTAAACAGCAGCCAGCAGGTGCGTCGCCACTTCATATTCGGGCATGGGTTCCATCTGCAACTTCCCCCATTCCTTTTTTTTTGGTCATTCAACCGATCTCAAAAGAGATGGAGATAAGATCCAAACAAAGTCAATTACAAACTACGCAACCAGGACACATAGTCGAACCTCGACAAGAGTCGAGGCGACAAACTCAGAGATTTATTGGCCACTAAATGAGCCTCCCTGTTCCTCTCACGGCCTACGAAACGCATATCACAATTTCCCCCCAAACCCGCCAACAAGGCTTTGATCTCGCGCAAAATTGCGCCCACCTTAGAATCATTGAAAACCCCTGAAACACACTTATCCAATATGACCTTAGCATCTCTCATAACCAGAAGAGAGGAAAGTTGTCTTTTGGAGCATTCTTGAAGACAATCCCGGAGAGCAAGGGTCTCCAAAACATGAGCATCTGAAATCCCTTCGTAGATGGTCGCTGATTCTGCAATTGGAAAAACCAGCTCTGCAGGAGACGCTCCTTCCCCAATTACAAAGGCTGCTGAACCTGATCCACCCTTCCCCGTTGCGCCATCGAACGATGCATGAAAATGAAAATGCCCTTGAAGAGTCCTGGACTGAACAAGATCAGATGCTGCACTCGGCAATTCCTGAGGAGGTGATGGAGACGAGAAGGCCGACTCAATTTCATTAACTTGATGACGCCATTCCGCTGCCTTGGACTCCAAACAAACCTGTTGCTAATCAAACAAAGTACAACACCTATTCTTCCATATACGCCAAAACATAGCTATAACTTGCAGAATTAGGTAAGAATCAGAAACTCCCCCACTCTTATGAAAGAGCTCACCCCTGACCATACCAGCAAACGATCGCTTATCCCAACTCGCTAGTTTCGTCCGGAACCCCACCAAATTCCACAATTTTCGGGCAAAAGGATAGGTAAAAAACAAGTGTTCTATCGATTCAACCTTTCGACCACAAACCGGGCAAATCGGAATAATATCAAGACCCCTAAATGATAAGGCTTCTCTAGTTGGCAAGATCCAATTAAGACATTGCCAAACAAAAAATTTCAGTTTGGGTGGCAATTTCAAGTTCCATAACCACAGCCACATTTCATGATCAACTTGATTGACCCGCAGACGACCAATATTTGCACGTGAAATTTGAAAAGCAAGATGATAAGCAGAGCGTACCTTGAAAACACATGAGGACTCGTAATGCCAAATCAACGCATCCGGAATTGGGATTTTTGACAAAAGGAATTGACAAGATGAGCTTGATAGATTCAGAACAAGTAACAAGTCTGCCACCGCCATAACAGTTTTTGTATAAATTTCAAGATGGAGCATTGCTTTTATGTTATAAAAAAGAGGAATTTTACCATACTTTAAAAGCATTTTTGTTTTATTTTTTGATTTATGGTACAATTTAAAATTGTACTTTAACGTTATGGTACAATTTTAGGTTGTACGTATACTTTTTTGTAAAATTCAGTTTATGGTACAAACTAAAGTTGTACCTACCATAACATAAAGTTACAACTTTTTTTTATGGGTAATAAAAAATGAATTGAAGCCCGGGGAGGTGCAAATTTTTTTTATGGGTAATAAAAAATGAATTGAAGCCTGGGGAGGTGCAACTCTTAACGTCCCTCTTAAAAGTGAAGGTTGTACCATAAAGGGATTTTACAAGTTGAAGTTGTTCCATAATATTAATGTCAAATTCTCTTATGGTACAACTTCAATTTGTACTTTTAACGTTATAGTACAACTTAAATTTGTACTTTAAAGCACCAATACCTTAAACCATAGTCGATTTATAGAGATTTTTTTACGGTATATTATAGATGTATTGTATCATTTCATTGATAGAGTCTGAAAGCAATTGTGATACTAAGCCCTAGTGTACTAAAGCTCTTCTTGGTCCCAACCACATGATGTGTGGGCCATAAATATGAGCGCCTAGTTGCTTCACCGATCCGAGATAGTCTAAGTCACCGACCAATTCTCTATCATGCAATCTCTCACCTTGTTGCACGAAGAATTTTACAATGCTATATAGTATTGTTGCTATAGGTTTTTGCTTTTATGGTACAACTTGAAATTGTACATTTAACATTATGGTATAACTTTGGATTATACCTATACTATTTGTACAAATTCTTTTATGGTACAACTTGAACTTGTACCTTTATGTGATGGTACAACTTCA